ATTTGGTTTTCTGCTAAACATATCTTCACTATGCATGATTGTATGGATTCCAAGCCTTCCCTTTCTATCGTTATTGTAATCTCTCTTCTGGTTGACTGCCAGAGACAATAGTTAGTTTAGTCATTTTAAAGTTTAATTTTTTTTTCTAGCTTTGAATTTTCTGGCTGCAAAGTTATTGGGAGCATAAAACTCTGTGTACTTTAAGCTTCTAAGTTTCTGCAGTCAAGTTAATTTGTGTAGTGTGGAATTATGGGGGTTGTTCTTTCTCAATGAAGTCCTGTATGAATTCTTATAAGTCCACTTAAGTCCTTGCTTACAGTTGCAAGAAAATTGGATCCTCCACCTTAAATAAGTTGGCTGTATATTGAGACTATTTAGGATATAACTGTATTCTTTCCATTTAATGAATTTAAACTTACGTTGAAATAACAGTAACATATGAGGCACTTAAAGCTGACTGTTAATACCACTTCCTGAAGATTATTTTAAAATAAATAAATGTTCATTTGCTAAGTGGATATTCTGCCTCATCAACAAAGGATGCAGAATGGATAGCAAAAGTCATTAGCATAATATAAATGCTTTCAAAAGGACTTTGGAATGCCTGAACTAAAAAAGTACACTACCAAGGACTTGGAAAGAATTTCAAGCTCCAAGGCCAAAGAATCTACTGCATATTAATCTTCTTTATCAAAAAGTTGATTTGGAGCACTAAAGACAAAAATAAGCCTATTGTGCAATTGCAAAAAATGAAAAATAAAAAGGCTTGGAAGACTGTATAGAATGGTAGAAAGATGCTACATTGGGGAGCAAGGCATCTGGTGGTCTTAATTTTGTCACCAATTAACTCTGAAATCTTTGGCTAGGTGGTTCAGCCGCGTGAGCACCCATTTTTCCCGTTTGCAAAAGGAGGGGTGTAGTATGTTTCTTCAGGGTGTCTTCTTCTGACTACATATGTGTGTGTGTGTGTGTGTGTGTGTGTGTGTGTGTGTGTGTTTTGTGACCTAACCAAGGTATCAAAGTCCAGAGAAATAGTTTGGGGGCGGGGGAACTCCTTATAAACTTATAACTGGAGTTCTGCCTCCTAGGAGCATTTAATTCTTTTAAGTGAAAGCATGCAAGAGGATTCACACAGCTGTGGACAAAGTAAATATGCTCTAACTTATATGAAGCCCGGAGCATAATTGTTAAAAACCCCTATGCACAATTAGAAAACTAGCGATCTTTTTTTCTGCTTTCACCACCTCATGAACAAACTACAGGATGCTGAAAGCTTTACGTATCTTTCTAATGTTGACATTATGAGTAAATGGGGGGGGCAGATTTAGACAATAACAGGCTGTCTATATTTAAGATGAGAAGTCCCCCGAGTATGAAGGGAATCTATGATTTCATATCATTTCCCTCAATTTTTCCTGACACATATTTGGAAATTTGTTTCTCTTAGTTCCTACTGTCACTGTTAGAATGCAAGCACATTCCTTTCTGGACACGTTCTGCAGTGTCATCATGCCTCCGGAGCAGGGGCTGAGAGACTGAGTCAAAAGTTCTCTTGAGGAGATGTTAAAGAGATGGTGGGCATGAGGACCACAAAGCTTAGCATCTCTTAGCAAACCCTGTCTGGATAAAGCACACTGTAAGATTTACTCATAGTCATGCAACTTCTAGGAATTAATGTCAGGGACTATAAAACTTACTCTGCAGACATATTTACAAATTATTTTGATTCATGTAGTCTACTGTATGCCTAAGTAACGCATTACAGTGCCACCTGAGATATATGCAGTTCACTAGGTTTTTAAGCCACCAACCTATTACTACCTACAATGCATAATATACTTGATGAAAAAAAATCTGAACTTAAAATTTCAAGTGCACATCTGTGCTTTTAAGGGTAAAGCAGAGTACACACGCCTGGAGGATGATATTCTATTATTTCAAAAATAATTATCAGCTATATGATCATACGTGAAGAGGAAAAACACACCTGTGGATAAAATCCATCATAATAAACCATTATAGGGAGCCTGGGAGGCTCAGATGGTTAAGCGTCTGCCTTCAGCTCTGGTCATGATCTCCAGGTCCTGGGATCGAGCCCAGCGTCAGGCTCTCTGCTCAGCAGGGAGTCTGCTTCTCCCACTGCCTCTCCCCACTGTTCCTACACACTCTCTCTCTCTCTGTCTCAAATGAATAAATAAAATATTTGAAAAAAATAAACCATTATGCTATACTAACTTACAAGGACTTCTGAGCTATATGGATTTGAGGGAAAAAAATAAGCTCAAAGATACACCACTACAACGGATTACAGAAGGAACACAAACCTGAAATGCTTTCTTTTCTAACATTTTATCAGTGACCATGAAACTTTCTTTATAACTCTATCACTTTTTCTGCTTTTCTTTTTTCTGCTCAGCAAATCAAGTTTTCAAATGCTGTAGGAGTGGTAGCCTTTATTTTTGTCTCCCAGGCAAGATGCTATTAGGGGTCACTTCCCATGGATGGAGAAAACAATCTTCAAGGATAATAATGATAAAACCTTATGGAATGCAAAAACAACCAAAATATGTATTCTCGGATGACTGCATTAGGGCCAAGTCAATATTAGTCCCACTTCACCCACGCACCGCATAGTCTAAAAATGTTGTCAGCCTGATAAGAATTTCCTGATTTACTCTTTTTTCCAATAGAAAATATAGGTCATCAAAATAAACGCCTGACAGTAAAAGAACAGTAGTTACACTATCAAGTCTCTTTATTTCACTAGCCAGTTATAGTCCATTTCCTTACTTAACAACAGAAAAAGTAACCTCTAACAAGCCATTTTTGTAAAAGTAACGTGAAAATTTCCAAGCACACCTCTCAGCTATGTTCTTAAAGTCAACTCAGCCAATTATGTATTTGAAGGATACCTACAGAACCCTAAAGCGTAGACTAATATGCGCAACTTATCAATGTGGACGATTCAGGTGAAAAAGAAAATTCATTCTTCAGTTAGTTGATGGTCTCAGCAAAAGACTGATATTTGGGGATCAAGTTGTAGCACTGTTACAAAAGTTGGCGTACTGGAGTTTTCCTCACTGAAAACTTAATTTTATGAATAGTAATTTATAATTTTTCTGATATGAATTTTATTTTCTAGTTCAAGAGTATTATAATCCCTAACCTCCACCACAGATTCATATATTAATGGAATTATTTTCACAATTCTATAGAATAAAACCCTATTCATAACTTACATAGTTCAAGTTATCTTTTAAGGGGAAAAACACTTTTCTGTATACTTAGTAATTTTGAGTCTGTTGCTTGTCTACATTCCAATTGACAACTGAGAGCCTCTACAGTCCCTGAGATGAAGGAAGGGAAGGGAGGAAATAGAATGGTTCATCTGGGACTGACTGTTTATAAAACACATAAAAATGATATCCAGCATCTCTTTGCCTCACTTGCCTAATTTGTACCTAAATGTTTTTCTCTATTATTTAACGTCTTTTATGTTTAAAATCAAAGAAAAGCAAACAGCATAACCAAAATGTTTAAATCTGTCACCTTCGACCACAAATTATAAAATGTTTTCCCATTCTCTTTCCTAAAAGTAATCTTGCTTTCAAATGCTAAGGCTGCTGAATATTAAAAACATAAAATAAAAAAAAATGGTAGCAATAAAATGGGGCTCCTTCCTCTTTTGCCCTACTTGGTCTGGTTAAGCTTATATTGTTTAGCAGATAACTCTGGGGCATGTACCCTGCTCCAGAATCAGCTGAATTTTATAGTCCTTAAATTCTAAACTGAAGTTATGATTTCTTTCCAAAGAGTAGCCCTACAAATCTAGCAAAGAAACAAGTAAAGGGAATACAGAAATCAAAATTAATTATGTAAGTTTTAATAAAGAGCCAAACCCTTAAGACCATAATAAAACACATGGTTCCTAAGAAATTTTTTAAAACCCAATCAATAAATTCTGTGAATGGTAATTTCCAAAGCACATCTGGTTCCCTGGTAAGTGTCTCCACCTCGGAGTGCATAAATTGTATTTTTAAAAATTTCACCAAATCAACCATAATTCCCGAATTCCCAGAGTCTGAAGACCCTACTTCGGTACAAGCTAGTGCCACAAACTCACATATGTGTTCCTAGAGCGCTAACTGAGGCTTGAAACACATTGTGTTGGTGTCCAGAGAGGAATGTCCAGGGATACCTAGTGCCAAATTCCCCACACCCTACTCTCTCTTCTAAAAGAACTATATCATCTCTCTGGTTCCAGAACCCTTTTTAATCCACAGCATTCTCCGTCACTCTCAGCATGGTGAAGACCCAACATCCAGTGATCCAAGGTTACCTCTTGAGTGGGGGACACACTTCTAGTAGGCTGAACTATAACATCTCTGCGCTTTGATGGAATTAAAAATGAATGAGGAAGTTTGGGATCAATTCCTGCCCTCTCAGTCACAGTCATAAGAAGACAGACTCTACAGAGAAGTTTAGTAACATTTGACAGACATTACACTAGACCTCTGTTCCATGAAAGTTCCAGAAAGGTCATTCCATGAGCTCACTGTCCAGGTAGCCTCCCCTATGTCGGAGACACAATTTTATCCTCTTAATCAAGAAAACCCTGAAAACACTTCACCTTTCCAAAGAAAAGAAAATATTTGATTTAAAGTAAGTTTACTCACATACTCCTAAGACAGATGCCCTTGGTGGGTTTCAGAGAACTGAGCCCAAAGAGCTAAGGTGGCTATGCGGAGCAGCTTTGAGCTCCGGTGACACCAGCTCAATGAAGGCAGGTAGTGCCTCACATCGAATCTCCACCCGTCCACCAGGCTGCTTGTCCCTTCCCGAAGCCTTTCCTCCGTTCTGCTCAACGGCGCTCCCCCAGGTCCCAGAGCATCCTCCGCGCCACCCGTCCGGGCGGGACGTCGCCCGAGTCCCAGACAGATACTCTCGGTGCCCCTCGCCCCCGCCCCCGCCCCCGGCGGGCTGCCCGGTCGGTGACTCACCTGTTGGCCAGGTTGGGGCGCCGGGTGGTAGTAAGCTGTGGGGCAGGTTGCAGCTGCCACAGGGTTGGGCAGATACTGGGGCGCTCCATACGGCTGGGGGTGATACATCACCTCCGCACAACTCATGGCAGCCGGGGCAGCGGCGGCCCCCGAGCTGCCGCCGCCGCTCTGCGTGCTCGGGCGACGGGCGCCGCCGCCACCGCCACCGCCGCAGCTGCCTCCTCTGTCGCTGCTCCAGCTGCTACTGCGGCGAAGGCGGGTCCTCGGCGGCCGCGGGCTCCGCGCGGGGCGCGGGCTCGGGAGGGGTTGGCAATCAGTGGGGGCCCATGCGCGGGCACCTTCATCTTCAGCCCCTCCGAGTGTCCCCTTGCCTACGCTTATATAGCGGCTCCGGGACGCAGGGGCCCGCCGCGCGGCGGGGGCATGACAGTGCCCGGCTCCTGCGAGGACAGCAGCGCCCACTGCAGCGCCAGCCGCCGCCGCAGCCCCGGCCGGGTTGGGCAGCCCTGGGGAGCCGGGGCTCTGGTTTGCATATACACAATGCACGCCCGGGGGCTCGTCCTATCACCGGAGCTCGCGCCTGGGCGAGGACCGGGAGGCGGGGGCAGAGGGAGGGGGGCGCTGGGGAGGAGGGGGAGCACTTCGCCGCTCCAGGCTCTGGCGCGGAGCTGTGCAAAGTTCCTCCAACTCGGTCCGCGGCGGGCGGGTCGCCCAGCGGGGGACCCCGGGGAGGGCAGGCTGCGGATTGGAGCGAAGTTTGAAGCCCTCTCCGCCTCCCGGCGGTGGGATGATGGTGGGAGGGGAACGGTATGCGAGAGGCTCCGCGCCCTAGAGCTCAGTCTTTCCACCCTGTGTCACCTGGCTGTCCGGGCGAGGGCTTCCCAGCCCCAGGGAGCTTTTAGGGGGGAACACCAACACAGAGGCCAGCGCTAAACCAAGGCCAAGTGTGCAAAGAGGTTAAACAGAAGGAACAGGCGCAAAATAAACTGGGATTAGCCCCTGCGTTAAATATAACCGTAAGTGAAAGTTAACTTTATTACAAACGCGCACACGCCAAGAATGCAACAGTTTTCTACAAGTAATTTCGCTTTAAATTTACACCTTCATGGTATGAAAATTTTGTGGGACGTCAACCTTTTCTGGCTCTTCCTGCCTGGTTTCCATAGAGTAATAGACAATAACAACTGATTAAGCTCATTCAGCTATTAAAGGTTTATCTACTTGCAAGTGGTTTATAATCCTTTCCAAAATTAAAAAAAAAAAATCTCTTTGTGGGAATATAACTATTTTGATAAAATCAGGTGAAGTAGAAAAGAATTGTAATTATTTTATAAATAAGCAAACTCTTTGAACTTTAACTATATGTCTCCCCTTCTATTTAAGTATCCTCTTTTATGACACAGAACAGTTTGTTTTCACAGAGACTATCCTTTGAGAAAAAGACAAGCTGAATGTTATATGTACTGATGTTGTCATGGACTGAATTGTGTTTCCCTCCCCCCAGATACATATGTTGTAGTCTGACCCCCAATGTGACTGTATTTGGAGACAAGGCATATCAGGAGGGAGTTCAGATTAAGTGAGGTCCTAAGAGTGGGGTCCTAATCTAGGACTGGTATCCTTATAGAAAAGGAAGTCACACTAGGGATCCCTGTATGCCCTGGCACAGAGGAAAGGCTTTGGGACAGCCGGTAAGAAGGTGCAGTCTACAAGCCAGGAAGAGACTTCTCACCAGAAACTAACCTTGAGGGCAGCTTCATATTGGATTTTTTTTTTTTAAGATTTTATTCATTCCCTTGACAGAGAGATAGTGTACATGAGAGAGAGAGAAAGAGAGAGGACACAAAAGTAGGGGGAGAGGGAGAAGCAGGCTTCCCACTGAGCAGGGAGCCCCATGTGGGGCTCAATCCCAGGACCCCAGGATCATGACCAGAGCCTAAGGCAGACCAACTGAGCCACCCAGGAGCCCCATATTGGAATTTCAGCCTCCAAAGACATCAGAAAGTAAATATCTGTTGTTCAGGGCACCAGTCTTGTGGTTTTTTTATGGCAGCCCTAGCAGACTCTTATACTATATCAGAGATATACAGAATTAATATATTGCTAACTTGATATGAATGTATATGTGTGTATACATAACTATACATTCACACACACATAAATACATATATATCATACATATACACATTTACACACTCAAATACATAACTATAGTATTTGACAGGAACTCTGCTATTCATAACAGCTCCTATTCACTCATTCATTCTTTCATCTACTGAATATTAAAAATACATTTATTAAGGGCAATCACAGTTTGGATTTTGTGCTTTTTTGTAATGAAGAAGTATTCCTATCAATAAGACATATACGAACTTATTTGAAATGTTGTCCCTGCCTTTTCAAAAAATGACATCCTCTGGTCATCCTTTCCTGTGTTCTAGGTTCATCTATTTGACTTCTATCTAGATGGTTCCACATAGATGTTCCATAGGAACCTCAGTCATGATAGCACTGATATTTTCCCACAGTCCCAATCTGAGTCCACCTGACCCCAACTTTACACTTGTACTGACTCTATTCCCTCATCATTTATCTCTCCTGCTATAACCCTTAGTTCATGCAGCATCTTTCTCCCAGACTCCTGAAGGCAGCTTCTACCTGATTTCCAGGCTGTAATAGTCTTGTCTTCTGATCCATTCTTCACACAATTTATCTTCTTTTTTTTTTTTTAGAGTCATCTGTTCTTTCTTTTTTTTTTTTTAAGATTTTATTTATTTGACAGAGATTACAAGTAGGAAGAGAGGCAGACAGAGAGAGAGGAAGGGAAGCAGGCTCCCTGCTGAGCAGAGAGCCCGATGTGGGGCTTGATCCCAAGACTCTGGGATCATGACCTGAGCCGAAGGCAGAGGCTTTAACCCACTGAGCCACCCAGGCACCGCCACAATTTATCTTCTTACTGTTTTCTGTCCTAGCCACTGCAAATCCAACAGAGTAATAATGTTTTGTTTAACTTTAAAAAACATTTATAATAGCCCCCCACAACCTCAACTCTTTAACCTTCAAATTCTGGTCCCTTTGTCATCTTCTTCTATAAACTATCCATTCAGCCACATGAATTGAGACCTCCCTTTCCAGGAAAGAACGTGGTTTCTCCTATGACCTTCCCTCTTTATGTATGACCTGAACTTCTGTACCAACACACTCAACTTTCTTCACTTGCAAACTCCTTTTTGTTCTTCAGGGGATTATCTTTCAAAACATCCACTGAAGACCAGCTTTGACAACTCTACTCTCTGCAACCCCAGCACCCTATGAATCCTGCTCTCACCATACTGATTACGTGATTTAAAATGGTCTATTTGCTTTTTTCCCCAACGTGACCATGGGACTGTGATTTTTTTTTTTTAAGATTTTATTTATTTATTTGACAGATAGAGATCGCAAGTAGGCAAAGAGGCAGGCAGAGAGAGAGAGGAGGAAGCAGGCTCCCCGCTGAGCAGAACACCCTATGCAGGGCTTGATCCCAGGACCCTGGGACCACGACTCCAGCTGAAGGCAGAGGCTTTAACCCACTGAGCCACCCAGGCGCCCAGGACTGTGATTTTTTTATCTGTGAATCTCAATCATGTAATGCCTGGCTTAATAAGCATTCATTGAATAAAATATTTTAAAAGGAGAAAAAATTCTTCAAGGAGCTTACAAATTCATGGAGGATCCAAGCAGATCAGTGAAGGTTAGAACATGGAACATGGTTTCAGATCCTGTATCAGGATTTCTACTGTATGTTAGAATGAGAAGATCCTTGTAATATGAGAAACTTTTAGACCTGGAGTGGAAAGTGACTAAATTAGGCCACAAAACTAGTTTGCAAGAGCACCCTTTCCTCTACGGAAAGCCTTCTGTTTTAAACACTTAAGAGTTCCAACTGTATCTTCAAATAACTTAATTATCTGTAGCTTTAATATAATCATGTGTTCAATATATTTCCTCTACTAGACTTGCAGAGAGCATTTATATCTTATATATTTAACATTAAGAAGATGTTCAGTATATATCTGTTAATTCAGAAAATAAAACAAAACTAAATCCAAAATGCCATACCCACAATTTCTGTATCTTCCTTGTTCCCCATATGGCCTTTAGTATGTTGCAAATATTTATTATATGATGAAGATGTAGTACTTGAATACTAATAAGTCACAGACCCAAAAGTCTGGAGGTATTTGGCAAAATCTTTCTTTAATGAAGTATCTTTATTTTGATGCCCTCCTTCATTTCTAAATTGTACTGATAGGGGAAAAATGAGAGACTAATGAAAAATTCTGCCCAGAATTAGAATATAGAAGAAGAATGGACTGGACAGAGAGGGATGACAACTTATTAAGGCCTGGAGGCTTTATTTGCTCATTAACAGAATGTAGGATAATTCCTGTCAGGAAAGTACCTGCCTTCCCTGGTAGATGTTTAGGGTTTTAGAGTGGAAAAGAATAAAAAAGATCATCTAGTCTACAACATCTTTCAATGATACACAAACACGTGGTCTGATCCATGTCTTCTACAGAAGGCACACTAAAACCAAAATCAATTCAGTTCTCTCCCTATCTCCCCATGCTAAGTCTATGTAAATAAGCACATATGTATTTTATGTGCATACATGCCACATTTATTTATGCCTCTCTCTATGTATATATACAAACACACATAGACACACGTATGTATGCATGCATATTCATATATATCCATTTATGCATATATATATATATATATACGTGAAAGAAGAGGTTTTAGATTAGATCATTCTTTGGTCATCTTGGAGTTTCAGAAAAGGGGTGGGGAAGAAAAAATGTAGGCCAATTGCATTTAACAGTAGTGAGTCACTCAGATCAGAGAATGTGATCTGATCACTGGTGTACTCATTGTCATGTCTAGTATGTGCAGGTGTCACAATTACTTGGAATAAAATAATAATGAGATGGAACTTGATAATTTGGAGTTAAAGTTTTTGATACTTTTGAGTTAAAGTTCCTGAAATTTTACGCTTTTATCTTTTCTCTCCCTTCTTTCAAATTGTCCCACCTCCCTTTGGGTTCAGTTCTGATGTGGAACTAGACCTTACATTACCCATTGGTGTTTAACCTTTCACTCCTTTCTGTTCCAGCCACTGCAGTTCCAAAAGAATACCAAAATTACCTTAAATG